CATCTGTATAGATATGAATAATTATTGACTAGTCTTAAAACATTAGCCCGACCATCAGCGTCTCTCCACTCGCTCCTAGCCACGTCTGCACTCTTTGGTTATCTTCGGCTCTTGAAGCTGTGAAGCTCTTCGCTGAATTTTCTTTTATATTGTCTTTTTCTTTTACCTCTTTTTGGGTCCAAAATCAGAATTCAGCTCATTAGTACTGGAGACGTCATTAAAAATGTTGCAATAAAATGTCTTTTGGTTTGTCTTTATTGGATTTAAAGGTGTAATATGTACAGATTCAGTTAAATGGTCTGTTAGACCAGAACAAAAACATTTTTAAAAAGTCTCATCCAACATTTCTAAAAACAATCTGACCTCATCAGAACAGCTCACATTGGAAATAACACTAATAATCTAATGTTGGTAAAAACAGTAAACTCGCACACAAAGTAGCTGCTAAAATTAGTAAAAGCATCATAAAACAGAATCCACATGCTACAAGTGATCAGTGCAGAAGGAATGAATTAGGTGCTTTCTGCATCCCTGCTCTGGTTGTTTAAGTAATTTACTCTTAACTGGCATTATATTGCGTTACAGACAGAATTTCTTCCACTTTATTTGTTGAAGTCAGATATAATTTCTGAGATGACTGCAGTGTTCTAGTGTAAAAAAGGCAGCAGGTGAGCGGTGAACCACTCTCTGGTGAACTGGAGGTGGTCTCCCTCAGTGGACAGAAAAACCAGCTTTCCCGCCTTCTCCATCGCTGCCAGCCCCAGACGATCCTGCAAGTGGACACACACACACACACAATTTAGACCTTCTTGATTTAAAGGAAATACAAAGTATATCAGAAAATGGTGAAAACTGTTTCCCAAAGCCCAAGATCACATCTTTAAATGTCTTATGTCCACAACCCATAGATATTTAGTTTGTTAGAAGACTAAAAACCAGAAAATATTCAGATTTGATGTGTTGAAATCTGAGAATTGGGATATATTTTCTTAAATATTAACCTTAAAATGATCATAAAATAATAGTTAATGGATTAATCATTGCAGCTCAAGTGTCTACAGGTTATAGAAACATGTTGCAATGCGTCAATAAACACTGTTACCTCTTTGTAGAGAACGCTCTCCTGCAGAGTTTCGGTCTCTTTGGCCTGGCCGGTTTTCAGGAAGCCGAACCACTACAGCGAGAATCAGGACAAGACTGTTTGTGTCGCTGCTTTATTATATATAAAAACGTTATATTGTTCAGAAAGTAACAGGAGTTTTTACAAAAGCACTGCTGAGTGTGCGTTTGATACGTTACCTCCGTATCAACAGGGTCAACTACAGTGTCCTGCAGGAACTTGACCATGACGAACTTCTCCAGCAACTGAAGATTCTTCTTATAAGTCTCATTCACAGCCTTTAAAAGCAGAAAACATGAGATATTAAAAAAAACTTATGCTATACAAACATAAATATGAGATATATGAATATTGCAGAGCAACATTTACAAGAGATTTGTACATTTTATAAATTTTTTATATAATATAAATATACAGATTGGTGACAATTTAAAAAAGGAAAAACCAACACAAAACCCTCTCATATTTATTCTTTACAAATCAATTTGAACTTTAAACTGACAAAATAAAAATAAGTCACCTTTAAGTCACCTGCTAGTTAACAACAAAGTTTGGGTTGCCTGCTTTCTATTTAGTAACAATGTTGTTACAAATGTTGTTAAACCATTAATAAATGCTTATTAAGCTTTCATTAAATCAGATCTGTTGCAGGCGTTTACTGCAAGCGGTCGGATCACTCCACCTGATTTTTCCCAACGTGGCAACCCACAATTTGTTATTAATAAGTTATAAGTTACTGATCTATGACAAATTAGTAAATTATTTATCAACCATTAATAAAGCTATCAGCTACAACCTTTTCTAAAGTGATAAATCTTTTTATTTACTGGCCTTTTCTGGGGCTTTTAATTGCATCTCACAGTCTTCATCAGCACTGATGAAGACTGAGAAAAAGCCAGTAAGTGGACAACACACATGTATTTTGTCAAACTACTTTTTCCAAGTAGAAGAATGAACCTATTATTTTCCAGTAGCAAAAGCTTGTCTGAACTCATTATACTGGATTAATGCCTCCAGGTCTGATCTGCTTCGGTGAAAGTGCTGCGGCCGCATACTGACCCGCTCCTGATTGATGTCAGCCAGGAAGAGGCTGTGCTTCTTGTACAGGTCGTCATTTAAGGGGTCATGCCAGTACTGCGCCTGCACCAGGCTGATAACCACAAACACAACATCCAGTCAGTGCTACAGATCAGTTCGACTGACAAACAGACTATTGTTCTGTAGATCTGTACAGCGGTGGTGATAGCCACACAATATCAAGGCTGCTAAACACAATCAGCATCACTGAGCGACAGACAGTCATCCAGAGATTGAGGAAAGATAACTTACTGTTTTTGAACCAAGTCAGTGTAAGCTCCACTGTTCAGAGCTTTGCGGATCATGTCACAGATGTGGGAGCTCTCTCCGGGACACCTGGGCAGCCCGTACACTCCTGAGGATTCAAAAACACAGTGAAGACGTCTGCAGACAGAGATTGTGATGATTCATATTCACACCGTCTTCCAGAGCTTAAAAAAAAAAAAGTGATGGAGGAGCTAAATACAGGTCAAGACACAAATTCTTCTTTAAAAGAAGAAATTTGAACATCTAAAAATTCCATCTCTGGAAGATAAAGAGGAAATTCATTCTGTTAGCGGCACAAAAATACATAAAGATCATGTGATCGAAAGCTCCAGGAAAAAGGAGAATTAAGTACTATTTAAGGTTAAAATTTCACATTTTTAAAATAATGATGATATAATGTTCCAGGACGTTCTCTGTCTGCTGAACAGCGTCAGAGAAAAACAGATTTTTTTTCAGATGAGATTACTTTATTCAGTGTTTTAATATTCAATAACCACTGAAGGAACCCTAACTGGGAGAATCTGACTGCAATAGTGGTGAAGACAACAACTCCCATGACCCCACAACTACTTCACAATGTCATTCATTCCTTAACTCTGCATAATAAGTATAGAAAGGGGGGGAAAAAAGAGAAATGTGTTTTTAGTACTAGCTTTGCTGAGGGAAGTGAGCTGAACTGGTGTTCTGGTTTTTCACTGTTACGCTACCTTGGTGCTGGCCACCGATGGAGATCAGGTTTTTCATTGGTGGAGAGGGACAGCGCTGGGCCACAGCTCTCCTGGGAAGAGAGGAACCAGGACAAGTCAGAGTGAGCTTCCTCATTCTTTTCAGGAGACAAATACTTTAAAAGCAGAAAATAAGCTCAAACAGATCTGCAGCCTGAGAATGAAGCTCAGGACTTGAACCTTACTAGCTGAAATCATGCTGTTCTCTAACATATTGGTATTTCTTAAGTATTTCATTCACTCTGCAGGAGAATCACACAAGAGGGGAAACTACACAAACACAGAATTTGTCCATTTTCTACCACATTCACATAACAAAACCATTCAGTGTCCAGAACAGTGGGTACATACAGAAACTGTCCCCCCTGGGAGAAGCCCATAGCATTGTATCCTCCCTTCAACTTTGGGTCCTGAGCCAGCTGAGTGCACACCATGGACACCTGCTCATTCACATCCATGAAAAACCCATTTTCTGTGTCCTGCACGAGGAGAGACATGAAAAGTTCAAAGCATGACAGGCAGATTAAGAAGAAGAGAACGAGCTCCGTCCACAAGGAGAAGAGCTGAGAGATTTAAGTCACGGTGTTACGACGGATCAAAGCAAATGGAAACAGATTCATGCTGGTTTGGCTATGAATATTAACACTGAAATATTACATAGTGAAGTTGTAAAGGAGCCATTTCATTTTTTTTTCCTGATGTAACTTGTGCCACTAGCCCTGCAAATATCAGCGAAAAGGAATCCTTACATGTCATGTAGACGTATTAATCGAACACCCCTATGTCACTATTAGTTACCTTGTGATAATGAGTTGAATTGCTGTTAATATTAATGTTTCTCTATTTTTCCTTACTTAAATCTGCACTTATCTTGTGATTTTTTGGTGTCATTATTAAACAAACATGTCACATTTTTACATGTAGCGTTTGTTTTTATGCAAGAAAATCGGACTTTTCTATTGAAGGCAGTGAATTAATTATAAGTCTGGAGTTACTGAGCAAGAGAAACACTGTAAAACAACTTTATAGACAAAAAAAAACAACATTTAAATGCTCTGCCATAGAAAAATAATACAAATTGTAAAAAAAAAAAGAGAAAAACACAAAATGTTGTTGATTCTGGCGACCCCTGTGGACAAAAGCGGTAGTGTTTTCAAGGGGAATCCGACCCAGTGGCGGGGCTTTAAGAATAACTATAAAGAAATAGCCAATCTTCTTCCTGATGGTCTCCTTTGCTTATGTAGGTCATATTAGAGGCATCAGGATTACATTGTAGTAGGTTTAAATCATTTTGGAAAAGTTTTAGCACTGGCTAGGAAATATATTCACTTTAAAAGGTTTTCCAGTGTGAAAGTACCTGAATGACACTCTTGCCGATCATCAGTGAGAGCACGTAAATGCCAGAGATCTCCCCCTCAACCATCTTCTTTATCGACCCCATGCTGAGCGGGTTACAACAGCTGTCACCTGGAGCGGACACATAAATACTCGCTTCATTATCATTTAAAATATTATATAAAACCCATCAGTAAACTGATCCGACTAACAAGTTGTGTCAAAGCCAAATATAGCTTACATTAAAAAAATATCACTGCACTGGCACTTACAATACAATAAAATATAATAATATATACACTATATAGAGTAAAATAGAATAAAATAAGCATGTATATATGTAATAGTCCCCAGAAAATGCACTATTTTTTCCTGTTTGAGCGATGTTTGTTAAGAAGTAGGAACAAAAGGTCTTGTGTGTATTAGACAGGGCAGGGAAACTGGACAGCATTTAAAAAGATGGACTAAAACTTTGTTGTTTTTTGTCTTTTCATTGGATTTATTGACAATAAGATCAAAATAAAGGAACTCCTCATCATCTAACCTCATCAGAAGAAAATGGGCACAAACTAAAGTTCTTTTTCAGAAATATTCTGGCTTACATTATCAGACAGCAGGTCAGTGCGCAGTGCAGTCCTCTGCCGTTAAAACACACAGACGCTTTCGGTGGATCATAACAGGTTAAGTAACCTGAGAGAGGGACCTCAGAGGCACCTGAGCCAATGTTGTTGTTGAAGGAGAAGAGAAAGTGTTTTTGTTTTTTTTCACTTCCCCTGACGGTATTTTCCCAACCACCATGGAATTAAAATGAACAACTTTCCAGTCGTAAGTATAACTGAGGCTGCACACCACACCTTATCTCACATTACGGGTTACATGGTTTGTATCTTAACACTTGTTCTTGTTTCTATGCTTTCAATTTCACCTAAATGTAGGCAGTAACATGTGTGCATACAAAATGTACAACCCTGGGACTTTCCACACTTTCCCCTTTCTGTTCTGAAAGCTGTCTGAGGACCAGAAACAGATATCACTGTTAACATTTTGTCTCCTTATAGCCATAAGATTGTAACACAAAGGAGGGAACTCAAACATGTACACTGCATTGTGCAGAAAATGTAGTTAAATAAATAATTCTTGGTACAAATTATTCCTCGTTTTGTTCACATGTCCGATTACACAGCTCCCTGTGGATAATGCTTTTACTCACCCATCCCATGCCACAGCACCAGTGGTACGGTCCCATTGTTGGGGTTATAAACTGGGCTGCCAGCAACCAGCAGCACTGGAGCAGCCAGGAGGAAACACAGGAGCACCGCCGTCATCCTGGACCCTGAAACAAACATATAGGAGGTCACAGAGTGCATTCATATTGCTAAATCACATCCTCCCTTCTTCACTTTCTTACTATTGTAGCACTTATACATCCAATCTCTCATCTCAGCCCTGATCATCCAGTGTAACCTGCCTCTGTATGCATTCATTCCTCTCTCTAATCCTTTTCTTAAAGCATTCAGTTTAAAAACAGGTTTGTTGTGCAGCTGTTGTCAAACTTTGTACATGCATTGGTTCTCTCTTTCTCCTAATAAACACAAATAAATACCGATTAGACCAACAGTCTAGCAGAAGGTGAAACAGAAGTTATACTTTCAACGAGCTAACTAACTAATCAAGGTTTTTACATCCAATAAATCGATAATTAAACACATTTTAAAACGTGCAGCAGCAGATTTATACTATAAAGAAGGTTAAAATCAATCCAACGTTTTAAAAAAGCGTATAATTTTAATGTAATAAGCCAAACTAATGTCCCAAAAACAGCACTCACCGTTTGTGTTCTTCCTGCTTCTGTCTGGTGGACTGTTCGTCACATGACTATGTTTGGCGCGAACAGCCAATCAGAATCAAGGGGGCGTGGCTAACAGCTAAAACGGGGCGGAAACGTCCAACTTGTGACTGGTCTATTTATTTCTTTATAGTAATCCTGCCTGTCTTCTAGTCTCATTTAACCGAATCTGTGCCGATATTATGGCTGCCTAACATCTCGGTGACTTGGATTTCAAACCCCATGCGGACACGTTACAGTCTAACGGGACATTTTAACACATAAACACCGCGATCTCCTGCCGCTAGCCGATTAGCTTGCCATGCTAGCCTGCTGTGAAATCCGACAACAACATTCCCGTCCGGATTATTTTACATCCGGTTAACTCAAATGTTTGACTGCTGAGCGGCTTCAAAGGGAGAGCTTAACCGAAGAGCCAGCGAGGTGGTAAAAGTACCAGGATGTCTGGTCAGTATGAGGAGCCTGCGTTAGCGGGGAGTTACGATGTTGTGGGGTCGTTTCCCAAAAGTTTTGGCTACGGGTCGGAGGAGGCGGACATGGAGGAGAGCTCCTCATCGGCGGATAAACCCAGAATACTGCTGATGGGACTGAGGAGGAGTGGGAAGTCATCTATTCAGAAGGTGAGTGACCTAAAACACACACTTTAAAGTCATCGGCACACCTGGCTGGGAATTGGGCACACCTGGTGACAGTGCTGCCTCGAGCTCCTCCTTTTTTATGAAGTTTGTAATTTAGTTTTTGTTGTTGAATGTTATTGCCTTATACTCTTACCTTCCTTGATATCAATGATAGTCACACTATTAGAAACAGGTGTCAGTGTGTTGTTATAATAATAATAATGATAATAATAAACAGGTCTGTACAGTTCAGGGAAATATCAGCACAATATGTAAAGTGTAAGAGCTGCGATGTTTTTGATAAAGTGTGAGATAAAAACTGGATTATAATGAAGTGCTGTGGTGCTGCAGAGATGCCCTGGTCTACAGAGCTTGTTCTCCAGATTTAAGAAAAAAACAACCCCCAAAAAATGTCACATAATCAGGATTTTCATTACATTTGGGATGCAAAAAGGATAATTCCCACATTAAACGCGAATAATATCTGTGAAAATAATCCCAATATGATGTTTTTGACCTCATCGTGCAGCCCTAGAAAGTTCAAAAGCAAACCAACCATCAAAGCAATTAAAATGACTGAAATTAAACAGAAACTGAACATTATAACCTTTGATGAAGGTAGGATTTATTACAGGACAACTGACTGTAATTATAAAGCCCAACCTAACTTATCACAGATATATTGCTGTCTGCCATATGTATGGTGGCTGATAAGTAAAGAACAGTGACCTCAGAGTGACTTTAATTTTCAACTCTACATGTTTAAACTCTCAAATGTCAACATATACAATATCAGCTAGGGTATAACATGGAGTATATGTAGTTAATTTTCTGGTAAATTGATTGAGAGATCAGCCAGTACAAGATACAACACTCTCTAACATTGAGTTAATGAGGAAAAACTGCACAAACTGACCTTTAAACAGGAAAATAAATGGGAGAAACAACAGAGGAGGCATTCATCTTCCAGGACATGATATAGGTGTTATTTATATATATATATATATATATATACACACACACATACAGTAGTATAATTCCAATATAGATAAACAGAATCACAATGTTACGTAAATAGAGCACAAAACTTTTAAGTAAATATTGAGAATAATAAGTTTAAAGGTTTTACAGAATGAAGAATCCGTGAAGAAACTGAGAGTAAGACAAAACAATAATCCTTTTTTCGGCCTCTGTTCAGGTCGTATTCCACAAGATGTCACCCAATGAGACGCTGTTCCTCGAGAGCACCAACAAAATCTACAAGGACGACATCTCCAGCAGCTCCTTTGTCAACTTCCAGATCTGGGACTTTCCTGGCCAGGTGGACTTCTTCGATCCCACGTTTGACAGTGAGATGATCTTTAAGGGAACCGGCGCTTTGATCTTCGTCATTGACGCTCAGGTAGGATGACATTAGTTTAAACGGAAGCTTACGCTGTACGCTTTAAAGGCTTTCCTGTGTGAGATGAATGTGTCTCTCTTGTTATTAGGATGACTACGTGGAGGCTCTTGTGCGGTTACATCTCACTGTATCTAGAGCCTACAAAGTGAATCCAGACATCAACTTTGAGGTGTTCATCCATAAAGTAGACGGCCTGTCAGACGACCACAAAATAGAAACACAAAGAGACATTCATCAGAGGGCCAACGATGATCTGGCAGACGCCAGCCTGGAGAAGCTTCACCTCAGGTGAGTGTCTGACACAGGTCGGTGGGTGGGTATGAGTTCTGGGTCAAAGGTGCATTCAGGGTGTGTGGCTCCTGTTCACTGTGTGTTTAATGTTTTGTGGTTTTATGTGTCCCCAGGAAGAATAGTTGCTACCTCTGTAGCAGCTAATCAATCTGAGTAAACGTATAAGCTGAGAGCATCAGAGCAGCAAACAGAAACAAGTCACACTGCTCTCAGTTTCCACGAGGGTTTGTTTTGTGGTCAGCTCATTTTCATGAAAACACCTGGAAGTGTATTAAAATTAAAATATTCTGGAAATAATCTGTGTTGTCCTGGAAGTTTTTAACTGTATGTTAGTCTGAGCTGTGTAGAAAAACTGTGGTCAATTTGGGAAGTGGGTAAACTGTCTGTCATGAGAATGACCAAGCACATTATGAAACCGAACTAACGAGGTAGTTTCCCCTTAAACGATGACCACCATTTCTGAGCAAGTGCTGTCCTGTATTGTCGAGAAAGTGTCCTGGAAAAGGATTTCTTAAAGAGTGGGGAACCCTGATTTTTTTTTTTTGATGACTAGGTTTGTCGAGTTTACAGCCTGCCGTGCTTTTATCCTGCATTCGTCCGTGAACGACGACGCATAATAAAACTGATTCAACTGACTGAGTTCAAGGCTTTTGCCCTAACCTGTTTGGTGACGCTTTGTAGTCTGAACTCTCCTCTCCTGCTTTCCATCCTCAGCTTCTACTTAACCAGCATCTACGACCACTCCATATTCGAGGCCTTCAGTAAAGTCGTCCAGAAGCTCATTCCTCAGTTACCAACGTTGGAGAACCTTTTGAACATCTTCATATCTGTACGTTGTTTCTTTTTTCTTACTAAAAAAAAAAAGGCCTGTGTTTAACATTCAGGAGGATTTATTGTCAGAAATTGATCATAATATTAATAGATAGGTTTTAACACTTCACTTCCCGCTCTCATTCCCAGGACGTCAAATACAGACGCGAGCAGTGTTCAGTTAGCACTTTTCTCTTATTAACCATCCTTCCTGTTTTTCAGCATTCTGGGATCGAGAAAGCCTTCCTGTTTGATGTCGTTAGCAAGATTTACATCGCCACAGACAGCTCGCCTGTGGACATGCAGTCCTACGAACTCTGCTGCGACATGATAGACGTTGTCATCGACGTCTCCTGCATTTACGGGTGAGAAGAATTATTTGTCTCCGTTGTTTGTTGTTGTTTGTATGCTGGTGGTTGTATCCTTTTTTTTTTTTTTTTTTTCAATGCAAAGTTTAAAAGGGGGTGTCTTTCTGTCTTTCTCCCTCCTGGCAGGCTCATACAGGATGGCAGCGGCTGTGCCTACGACAAGGAGTCTTTGGCTATCATCAAGCTCAACAACACTACAGTGCTTTATTTGAAAGAGGTCACAAAGTTCCTCGCTCTCGTCTGCATCCTCCGAGAGGAGAGCTTCGAGAGGAAAGGTGCGTAGCTTCAGATTGTATAAACAGTTAAGTTGGCATTGTTGGACGGTGGGTTGATTATACAGGATGTCATAAATGTAAGATTGTGAGTGTGTAAGTGTAAGTAAGTAAGTGTGAAACTGCCAAATCAAAAGTGGCTGTAAGTTTATTTTGCAGTGGTTAGTGGATTTATTGAAGTACTGTACTTAAGTACAAAAGTGAAGTACTTGTAGTACATTATTCTATGTTACTTAATACTAAGTAAGTATACCACACTACATTTTAGGGGGAAATTTGCTGCGTTTCACTTAAACTTCTAAAATTATTTGACAGCTATACTCAAACTAATTCCTTTACAAATTACTTAGAAGTTAGAAAATATGATGCATTGTTATAGATTAAACAGTATTCAGTAATAAATAGTTAAAGCTCCACCTCCACTGCAACAGTAAAACACTAATTACACAGTAATGCATCATCAATAATCTAATAACACTCAGAGGGGACCCTTTTTTCTCGTTCGAGTACTTTTATTTACTACTAGTTTTTTTTAAGGAACAACAAAAAAAAACACATAAACAAGAACCAAAGTAGTACAAACTAAACAAAATACATACAAATATACATACAAAATCCTCAAAGTTATACTGTCTGGCTACTATAACATGTTTTAGCCTTCCAGACAAGTAAACATGGTTGTTATTCAAACGACACTCTGTCATTAGCTCAACCCGCTCTTTATATTCAGGTCTAACTTGCCGTTTCCTTTTACAGAGAACAAGGACTTTTGATAGCTCACATTTAGCAGTTTATTATATATTATACTCACAATGGAGTATTTCTCACAGTGTTGTATTCCTACTTTTACTGAAGGACCTGAATATTTCCTCCACAACTGTTGTTTTGATGTCTTTGCGATCATAAAATCTCTCACTGAAGCAGCACAGGAATTACTGTTTGCCTTGTTAATAAGTAGCATTTACACAGGCGTGTCTTTTTCTCACATAAACATTGTTTTCACATTTAGCCATCTCAGTGTGTGTACTCTAAAAGTCTGAAGTCACTGAATCTGAATGTGTTAGAGACTGTATTTTACATCGCAAAAGCTCTGTAACTTTTTAAATGTAACCACTTATTTGTTCTCTCTGCAGGTTTGATAGAGTACAATTTTCATTGTTTCCGTAAAGCCATCCACGAAGTGTTTGAAGTGGGCACCTCACCGCAAGACGTCAGCTCGTCCAGCAACAACCTGACGGGCAGAAAGTACGCCTCGCTGAACGGAAGTGCTGTTTAAAGGGCGACAAGGGCCAATCTTTGGTTTAGCGGGAGCACAGCGAGGCCGCACAATGTGGAGGAATAATAAGAAAGCACACAAGGCCTCCTGTCGAACAAATAGTGCAACTGAATGTAAATCAGTTACAGCAGCTGATGAACTGATGGACTAAATCTGCCGCCCCCCCCTTGTGTTGTTCAGATATACTGTATATCCAGTATCACAGGTGATAAATATGCCAAAAAAAACTCAAGTAATTCCTATTTTTCTGCATTTATCCGTATTGAGATGTCAAAGAGTTGTGTCAGCTATGTTTACCGTCTTTTCCAGTTAATTCTCTGTAAAAATACTCAAAGAGACGTCAGAGAGGTTTGTAACGCAGCGTTAAAGCTCCATTGACTCAACCTCGAAACTTTATTTCCAGTAACTACCCTTTACATTCTACAACAGTAACAACTTTCTTTCATGTTCCTGCTCATTTTACCCTGAAATATTGAGTGCTGTAAGTGGGTTTAATCCCCTGTATGGAAAAGAAAAAGCGCAGTGTTTGTTCTGCGGTGTGTTTTCTGTTGATAATGACTCATGCGACCAGTGACCGGTGCTCTGCTCAGGATCTCCACAGACCAGAACTGTGCCAGTTACACCATTAGGGAGCCTTGGTTGATCAACAGACGAGAGCGACAGCATGTTGGTCTTAATGGAGTCTGGAAATAACTGATGATGCCTTTCGCTCGGACCACCTGCTGACTGGTTGACTTTTTGTAGCGCTGATGAACTTTTTGACCAAATTTACTTTCAGTTTTCCAGCAGTTGTTTTTTTTTTTTTGCTTTTTGGTGCGAGTGTGTGTGTGTGTGTGTGTGTGTGTGTGTGTGTCTGACCTAAAAATAATATGTCAGAGACCTCGAGGATGTGTTTTTAATTATTGTACATAATTCTTTAATAAAATATGTTTCATATTTTTGCTGAGTCACGCTTAGTTTCATCTTTTGATAATCCACCACATCAGATTATTTTATTATGAAGAGTTTTTTGTCATATTTCTCATAATCTTTTAACAGTTATTATAATGTGAGAGATAATATGTCATTAATCTGAGAAAGGTTTTTATAATTATATGTAAAGTCATAATGATGTCTTAATTATAAGATTTTATGGTAGTTAAATATCTACTTTTGTGTGTTTTTTCTCCCAATTATGACATTATCTCAAACTTTTGAAATGTTATCTCGTATGTTTGAGAAAGTTTTTAATAATTGTGAGATATGAAATTTATTTTTTAATATTTTGTGTTCTCAATCTTGACATTATCTCTCATAATATAATAAGTGTGTCTCAGTTTGGTTTAGTATCTCATCATTTTGACTGATTTCTAGAGAAGCCATATTTATAAAGGCACTATCCTATAACTATGAGATGCAAAGTTAATTAAAAATCTATCACCAATTTTTATTCTTCATTTAGTGTCTGAGAAAGCTTCTTATAATCATAAGATACTAAATCAAAATGTCATAGCTATGACATAGTTGGTAATAATTAAATTAGATAAAAAGTTCAAAATCAAAATTTTCTCATAATTATTGTTTGATAATTATAGAAGTTTGTCATATTTATGAAGCGTCTCATGATTATGAAACAGTTCTTAATAATTATAATTGTCAGAAACCAACCCATAACTATAAGATAGAACATTAAATATTCACCACCTTATTTTTTACTTGATACGTGATAATTATCTCACAATTATTCTCTTATAATTGTGACCAAAACACTTTATAGTGAGCTTGTTAGTTTTCCAACTGGCAGATTTGGTCTTCTGTAGTATGGAGACAGATTGTAACAGACGACACTAAATCATCCCACATACTCTGATAATCCAAGTTTTTACATTCTTAAGACTTTTAGCTTCATGTTTTTGGCTCAATCTATCCGTATGCATCCATCCACACCTGAACCACTGTAACTAACAGGTTTGAACAGCAGGTGGCAGCAAATTTACATGTAAATATTTTACATTTCTGGATGATTTCACCCTCAAGTCATCCTCAGCCAATAATTCAAAGTTCATATTCTCTACAAATCCTCCAGCATGAAGTCTGAGATCATCAACAGGTCCTGAAAATAAGCTTAAAAGATGCCCCACCCACACACACACACACACACACACACACACACACACAAATGAAAAGCTCTCATCACATCATATACACGTGTAGTGTACATCCTGACTTAATGGGTAGTGGCAGGATGGAGCCACAGCTGAAGCCTCTAATCGTCCCCAGACCTCCTGCTCACCACTGTGGAAAATGGAGGTCAATGAGAGGGAAAATGACATCTTGCTCTCTGAGACCCTGCAGTTTGCTCCTGACCACAGAAAATCTCATGTAAGCCTCAGAACTCAGAAGAAATGCAACACTTGAGAGTGAAAGACAATACGGAGAGTGTGTAGCATCGTCATCCACGTGTGATGGACGGTATCTGGTAAATATTACATTAATTAATTTAGAAACATCTTTACTCTCATTACAACTGCGCTGACGAAAGCCACAATATACGTCTGAAAGCTGCATTGGAAATCCAGAAAGAGGACTTTGAGTTAAGGTCTAAATGTTCCAACACCATCAATAAACCCAGTTTTAAACTCAACCTGTGACTGATGTGTACACATTATAATCTTAGTGTTGTAAAGGATTTATTAAGTTTAAACATTATGGAGGATTTTATTAACAGTTTATACATATGCATAAAAATCTTACAGTGTGTTATAAAACATTTATTAACTGTTTACAGACCTCAGTATGCACATATAAAGTTAATAAATGCTTTATAACACACCATAAGTTTTGTACACGTGTACAAGAAGTTAATACTAATGTGTAAAGTTAAGTGCTTTATGTTTATTCGTCATAAACAGTATAAATGCTTTATAATATTTATAACAATATTTGAATATTTACTTAAAAAGGTAGCCTAATAAAAACTTTATAATGCACCATAAGGTCTGTTCATGCGTATAAACTGTTAATAAATGCTTTATAACATGTATGAAATGTTAATAAATGCTTAATTTACAACACTGTAAGAGTTGTTTGTGTGTATAAACAGTTAACATTAATTTACTGTTTATACACAAGTTAAAAAATACTAACTAATTTGATATTATGTACTTAAATAACTGTATCACCCAAATAACCTTTTATTGTGATATCATGCTGGATTAAAACATTGTGGGGCATACTGCACTCATCATTCAGCACTACCACGGCTCCTACTATGAGATTATTATAGGGGATTTTTTTCCATTTAGGAGAGATAATAAAGTGGTTTTACATCAGCAGCTGGAAAGCAAAAGTCTACTATGTATTTAAAATATTCAGTTACATCCAAAAAACACAGCGAGTGCACCTTCTTTCAGCTTGAACTCCCCCCACAAGGTGACAGAAAGACAGAGGGAGTGGAAAGACCGACAGGGGAAGAAAGGGGCGGTGTTTGAAGCAATGGTTTGGGTTTTACGCACCAGACACAGATGCTTCAGTCAGTGGAAACCCGTCACTTTTCAGCTCGCAGGAGTCCACGAGGGAGGATTTTAATTATCTGTCATATTATACACCAGAGCCCAGCAGAAGCGGGCAGACTGCTCAGATCCTGCAGAGTCTCCGGAGAAGCGTCTTCAGAGGCCGCTGGTGCGTAAAGAGAGGTACGTTTATTTCTGCGCTTTATACGACTCAGCTTTATGATGTGAAAAAACTTAAATGATAAGTGAATTTAAAGAGTGTTCCGGTGTGTTTGCATTGGTCTAATCTCCTGAAGCAGTGATGTCTGCTCCGCTGAGGCTGCACAGATCCTCACCTGACTTCACCAGGTGCAAAAACGGCGCCTTTTTAAAGCTTCAAGCACATTTTGATTGTCTCTTTTACCAGGTTTAAGTGAATACAGTGAGCCTTTAAATTAACACTACCACTCTCTAATGAGGGTTCCTTTATAAGGCCTTTATAAGTTGTAAATAATGGCTTTATTAGTGGTTAATAAATATTTACTAAAGTTTATAAAGCAGTTAAATGGCTTTAATGAGATTTTTATAGAAGGGCTGCAGCGTCTGGACTAAAATCTAATTATTGAGTTAATCTCTGCAGACTTGATCATTAGAAACTGAGAACTTTGAGCTTTTAATAATACAACAAACATTTCTAACAACATTACTACCAAACTGAAACACCTGTCTGTGATTCTTCACAACCTGGCAACCCACTCTTTGATCTTATGCATGACTTATAATTGCTCTATAAAGCTTTAGTAGATTATTTATTAACAATAAAGACATTGTTAGTCACTTATAAAAGGGGCGTCTTGTAGGAAAGTGGTGCCAAATTCACTTTATTTAAAGCACAATCATCTTAAATCATGCAAGAAATGCATCTCCTCAAGCCAAATATTTGACCCCCCTCCACATCCAGGATGGACCAGAAAGGATGTTCTTTCTTTAGAGTGAGGAAATAGTGGCTGTTACTGGGGGTTGGGGGCCTGAACGGGGTCCAAAATGAGTAACTGATACTGCGAATAAGTGCGGCGGCCCCTGTTTTTTCAAGTAGGATTTATGAGAAGAAGAACAAGGAGACCTTTGAGGAAACAATCCCTTGCTTTAATGTTTCACTTATTAGCTTGGGGGTTGGAACACAAAACGACAACGAGAGCTTAATATATTGTGCAATTGTGTCTTTTTTTAAAAATAATTCATTTCATGTTAACAAGCCATTCGGTCTTGTTGAGTTAGAGTGATGTCATGTCTCCTTCAGATTACAGATTTTCTTCTGGAGACTCAGCGAACCCCCCCCAACCCCCAACCCCCAACCCCCAACCCCACCCCTCCGGCACCGCTCATAGTTTCCATCACCACAGTCCATCCCCTTTACCACCATCATGTTCCAATGCATTTGGCTGAAATTAATACGTTCATTGAAACAATCAGCTCTGGTTGCATTCACCCCTCTAAAGAAATGTGTGTCTCTTTCACACAGAAAGGAATTCCTGACTCTTTTTTTTTTTTGTCTTTTTTTAGAAAACAGAGGGCGGAAGAAAAATGCTTTTTTTGTTTGCTTTTTTTCTCCTTCTTCTTCTTCGGAGTTGGAACCGCATGATTTTGCCACGTTTTGACCACAGTCACATTCCTCTTGAAATTCTTGCATTGGTCGAAGGTTGGGCCTGTTTACGATCACTGGAGACGAGCCAGAGATAAATGAAACACTTAACAAGAGATGATTTGGGATTGTCAAGTGACTGACGCTCGTAAAAAGTCTCATCGTGAGTCAGTCTCACACACACATCCTCATCATCGTCTTTTACATTTCCCATTCCTGCTGTAGCCTACAGCCTGGGATGGGTTTTAAAGGGCCTAGTTTGACATTTTGGGAAAGGCGTTGATGTGCTTTCGTGCTGAGAGTGAGATGAGATACCATTACTATGAAATATGAACGCTGGAAACAAGCTAGCCTGGCTCTGTCTAAAGGCAGCTCTGCTAAAGTTCCCTAATTAACATTTTATACATTTTAAAAAACAGTACAAACACATAAGTATACAAAAGACAGTTTGACGTTTTTTGGTAAAGTATTTCTTGGCTGGGAACATTTCCAAGAAATAGCACATAAAGATGGAAGCAATTAGCTAAACTTAAGGACTGAAAGAAGGAGAAATGTCCTTAAACTATTTTATTTCCTCAACTGCATCCAAAACCGAAAATGGTCATTTTTACATTTTTTGCTTTTGTTCGGATTAAAGAAACAAGATATACCGTGTTAATCAGTGAGCTTTAGAGGTCTTGGCAGGCAGATTTTGGTATCTTTAGACAGAGCCAGGCTAACTGTTCCCACTTGCTTTGAGTCTTTATGCTAAGCTAAGCTAAATGGCTGCTTGATTTGTAACATACAGACATGAAGGCGATCTTCTCATCTAACTCTCGGCAAGAACAATAAAGT